TAATAGCCACCGATTTGGATAAAAGTGTGAAAGAGGAACGGGTGCAAATAGATAAGTCCAACACCTATGTCAAGCATCCCATACCCAGTCGTGTCCGCTATCACGACCAACTGATACCGGAGTTGGATGAACAGGGTATGTATGATGAGGTTATGCAGGAAATGGGGGACAACTATATGTATATGAGTCATAATGTTAAGTAAATGTTGACACAATTAATCAATGGATAATACAATTATAAATACAGAATATTCTTACCTACACTTATGTAGGTTGTGGGCATAAATAAATATTTGTTATGTATACCACACTATTATGAGTTTAATTAATAATTTTAATTATTCTGTACACAATTATTAATGTTACTAAATTTAATTTTAGGGAAAAATCTAAAATTGTTACATAAATAAGCTATTATTACAATTAATTGCTGAATAGGGAATTTGCAACAATTATAAGTTTGTTATTAAATATTATTTATAGTTAGTATATTTTTTGTTATTACGAAATAAATAATTAATAATTTTCATCCATTTTTACAAATTATTTATTAGTTACGTTACAAACGATAACTAATTATGAAATAGTATTTTAATGAAAATAAATTACTAGTAATTAAATTGTCATATTAAATTTTGTACAAATAGTAGTACTAATAATTTAGTGTTATTACATTATTAATCTATACGTTTATTTTTAACAATAAATTTTTGTAAATTAAAAAATACCACAATAATTATTATTATGTTAAACAATATATTTAAAATTTTATTTTGTTAAAATAAATTGATAAATAAAATTACAAAAAACATAAACAACATAAATAATTTATGATAATTAAAAATATGCATCAAACTGATATACTCCCAGAATTGTTAGGCAGTCCTTTCGTATCAGTGTCGCCGACCTGTAAATACAATCAAACAAAACATACACACAATTAGTACAAAAACACTGTCCCGTAAGAGCACCCCCCTGTCCCCACAGATAACACACCCATTGGTTCTTAACCTTTGCCCCCTCGGGTGTCATCACTGCCTGCTTCTCATATATACTACCTTTTTTGGGATCGCCCGGTGCTTTCTGGCCCGTATCGTCACCACCATCTGGAGGTCCTAACCTATTATTAGTCATATCTATGGCCACAGAAAGGAAACACCAATTAATTAATCATAACTCAAAACATATAAAACATTTTCCCTTTTCATTACCGTCAAAGTTTGCAAAGCCGGCTGCCTGCGCCTGATTCCCAGCTCCCTGTGCCGCATAGTTGGCCGCCTGTGCTTGGCTCTGAGCTCCCTGTGCCGCGTAGTTGGCCGCCTGACTCTGAGCTCCATAGTTCTGAGACTGGTAACCTTCCGCTCCAAAATTCTGCATCTGACCCTGGTATCCACTCCCATAATAATTTCCCGATTGCTGTCCCTGGCCATAGCCACCATAACCACCACCGCCACCATAACCAAAACCAGCACCGGAACCATATCCGCCATGTGCGCCATATCCCTGTACGCCATTTGCCTGTCCCATACCGGACATAGCAGAAAATCCGTGCACTTCGTGGCCACCGCCAGACCCGTGAGGTTGATACTGGTGCTGAGCGGGCACTTGTCGTATTTTGAGAGCCTGTCTGCCACTACCCTTCCCGTGTGCCACCTTTGGACGGATTTTGTATCTGAAAAGTAGTCATTTGTTTCGAGTATTAATTAAATAATTAATTATAAAAAAACTAAATCCTAATCACTAGATGCGGATTAAAAGGATAGCCGTGACATACCTATAGGGATGGCATATACGGTAGCAGTTCTTAATACTCTGAAATCGGTTGGCATTCCCTCCGCACCCGGTATACGAAAATGGTTTACACGTACGGGTCTCGTGATCGTAGTAAACGCGCGCCAAATCCTTGCTACAGGTGCCCGAGTCGGGCGGTTGGAAGCACTCGATGGGCACCGGCACCATGTTATTGTGCACCACCACCA